GTAAACGCTTTTAACATGCGTAACCCCCGCCCGAGACTAATTGTTTCTACTGATTTCGGTGGTGTGCTTTTGTTTGATGGAGATTTCTCGTACAGTGGGAGCCCGGAGCTCCTACCTTTTCCTCGAATTGTTGACGAGTTGATCCGATGTTGGGCGGGTCGAAGTCAATTTCTGACAGCGATGTGGTTGTACTGACTCGTTTCTCGCTTGTTGTTCTCTTTGTCGTTTCGTCGGTGTTTTTTATTTTTTTTATTGTGTACATGTTTACAGAGCCTCCTCGCCGACAACGGCAAGGTTTCCGACGTCCAGTGCCAGGTCAACCTCGAGAACCAGAAACAGGTATGATACACGTATCACACGCAGCAGCGCAGCTATCTGTGTGTGGCGCATGAGGTGTTGTTGTGGTCGCTGTTGTTGCTGCTGTTGTTGTCGCTGGTGCTGTCTGTCCCCGCTGATGTGGATCCTGATGTTGATGTCGGTTGTCACTTGTGCTCTCACTGACGGCTGGGGACTTCCGGCAAACGATCACGCCCCTGGCGACATGATGTGGTTTGCTTCGCTGTTTCCCGATCCGACCCACCCCACACTGTAAATAGATTGACTCCGTGGAGGAGACGATCAACAGGCTTACCATCGAGGCGCCCATGGTGATGCGGAGTGTCAAGACCCGGACTGCAGCCCGCATAATGGTGGAGCGCTTCCGGGAGGCGACCGAAATGCTCGCCGAGAATGTGAGATCCGCCCCCCCCGGCACCGCCACCGCTGCGGGATGTGTTTGTTCCTTTTCTGGTCGTGTTGGCTTTGTTTCAAGCTTTGCTTAATCCTCGTAGTACGCAGCTAGTTGCAGGTTATTGGTCCAGAAAAAATCGCGTCCGGTCATTGGGAGAGCCTGTACAGTCCCGAGGGCCGAACGCTGAGTTGGGTTTAGACAGAATAGTGTCCCCAAATGCACTGGGGACACGTTCCATACTGAAGCCAGGTCAGCATTTTTTTCCAGTACAAGGGAGTACGGAATTGTTTTTACCAACAAGGGGACACGAGGCGTGGGAGATACGTGTACACAGCAAGTCAGAGGCCGGGGAGAGGCATTTCACCGAAAGTTGCACAGCGTATCACCTCACACAAGCATGGTAGGCCAAGGTTTCCCGCGTGTTTTCGCACAGCGGAGCCTAATGATGACTACGGTGCGGTAAACGGTAAACGGACGTCGGAGTGCTGTGTCTCCAAGTGTCCCCATTCGGGCGTCCGGTACAAAAAGGGATAGAGGAAGACTCCCCTCTCAAGGCGCTTATTTCTTGCAGGCCAATGATCATCGATGTCAATGTGTTGTCGTTCTTGCGGATACCTTATCCTTGGATTTTATTTTTTTATATCGTAGTGTTGACATCATTCTCCGGTGTATTGCGCACGGACTTTGGTCACAGTATCCCCACGCCCCGCGCATGTTGGTGGAGGGCTGATACATATATGCGTATATATATATATATTTCTCATGGTCTTATTGAACGGCGAACGGGGGTCGGCGAGCTCTCTTGTCTTGGTCGATGGGGATTACGCTTGTTCACCCCACGGCGTTGATCCACCGCCTCTGTTGCTCGATCACGTTATTTATTTATGTTTTCTTTTTGATGAACCGTTTCTTAGGGCCACCTCGATGAAAAGGAGGAGGAAGTGCTGCAGCACGCCGTGACGAACGCGGAGATGATGATCGCCTACCACCCCAACCTCGAGGAGCTGCCGGAGCTCAGTGTGGTCCTCGAGAAGATCGAGTTCTTGCACGAGCTCACGCCCGAGCAGCGGCAGAGGTGAATGAATGAACCCACAGTTTGGGGCTCTTGGTGCCCTTCTGTAGTATTCGTGGTTACCTCGCATAGCGTGCAGAGAGGCGAGCGGAATGGCCTAGACTATCTGTCGTTGACTTTTATTGGCTTGCGGACCCTTCGGGTCCATTTTATTTCCGTATACCCTTTTTTGGGTAAGTTAGCCTGTGACCACGGGAATCGACCCCGTCAAGTGTTAGACAGTTATAGTACGGACAGAAGAAGGTACTGAGCAGAGAGAACGGAACGGTTTTTTAATGTGAAGACAACAACAACAACAACAACAACTCGTACGCACAAAATGGGGTGACTAGTCGAGCGGTGTGTGCAGTTTTTTTCGCGGGATTTTGTGGCAAACCCGTCTCTCTTCTTTACCTGTTTCCTACACAATTTTGAAGTTCACAGTTTTCAAGTATTTTCTACGTGCCCGCACGGGTGTAAATTTACCCCCCTCTTTTTACAGCTACGGTGTTGGAAGGTACGTCCTTAGTCGGTGCGTGTACCCTTAACCGACCGTGCGGCCGCCGACCCTCATCTGGTGTGTGAAATGACAGGCTTATCGACGTCGGCGCGTGCTTCTACCACGAGTACGTCGGGGAGGTGAGGCTGATGGAGATGGGGAAGCTCGGGGCCAGGGGTACCAAGAGGAGCGCCGAGAGGGACTTCCGCTTCCGCGGGTGGTGAGTGTGTTTTGCTTGGCCGGCGCGAGCCAACTGCGGGTTTTTCGTCCAGCCGACTTGGGAGCGTCAGCTAGAATAAAATCCTTAGCTAACCCTTAAGATCCAGCAAGCTTAGTGTTCAGCAACTAGTTTTAAGCAACCTTAGGGTTGCCTTAGGGTTATTCATGCGGCTAACTTCGGGATTTCGTCCAGTCAACTTTGGGTTACTCCTCCATGAAGGAGGTGCTCTCAGCGGATCGACAAGTTCAGGCGCTTTCGATCGCCACTTTTCGTACTTTCGAAGCCAGCCAACTTAGTGTTGTTCTTCCGTGAATAACGTACTCGCAGCGGATCAGCAAGCCCAGGCTCGTCGTCCGCTCGAAGTGCAGACTCTTGTGAAACTTGTAGCGATTGACGGCCTCCCCGCGCTTGCATTTCGTGAGCTACTCTATCCCGTGCTTTTTGACGGTGTTCAAAAGAGCGTCATCGTCATCCGTAGCGGTTGTGCTTTACGTAGGCGTCCTACCATAAAGCCGGCATGTATTAATATTTAGCATAGCAACAACCAGTTTGACAAATAAGTGGTCAGGGTTAGACTACCCTGCAATACGCCTAAGGCCGATAGTTTCTTTGGACTGGTTGAAAAATGACATGAAACTGCCACCCACTCGATGAGCTATTACTATTTGTTGCCTCTCCCGAGGCTCTGCTCTTCGCTCCGTCGAACAGTGATCGTTCATTTTCTAGTGGGGATTTCCGGCTTTAGTGCGATTGTTGCAACATCACAGCCTCCATTTCCACTCTCCCTACAAGTAATTGATCGGTGATGGCGCGCTCACCAGCTCACATTACAGGATATAGGTTGCCTGGAAACACACATTTCTATTTGGTACCACAGGTTATGATCTATACCACTGAACGCACCGCACAGAATTTGTGTACCTATTTAGTCCGCTGCTAAGGTTCAGTATTTTAGTCCGCTGCTGTATCAGTCTGTTGAATTCTGCACACTGAAACGTCTCGTTCACGCCACTCCCACTTTCGACGAACTGCGATAGTCGATGACTTTGTCGCATACGTCCACGAAGGCTGGCCGCGTATAGCATGCCTGAGCTCGTGTTTTCTTGTTTCACAACCTGTTATTGTTGGTTGTAGATGCTCTGGAGACAACAGGGTTTCTTGCTGACGCCGTCGTCGTGAAATTGTGGATTTTTTCGTTGTCCATGTCGTGGTTTTAGGTTCTACGTCGTGAGGGGTCAGGTGGAGAAGGAGTGGAAGAAGGAAGATGGAGAGACGGAGTGCATGACTCATTCCTCGGGGCTCCTTTTCGGCATCACTGACGCCATGCTCGCTGTGTGAGCTGTGTACTGCTGTTGTTGCTGTTGTCGGTGTTGTCGTTGCTGTTTTTTGTCGTTGTGATGCTGCTGTTGCTGTTGCCGCGCCTGTCGTTGTAGTTTTTGCTGCTGCTGTCGTTGTAGCTGTTGTTGTCGATGTCCGTTTTGGCTAGCTGGTTTGTTGCTGGTAATACCGCATTCCCTGGTGTTTCTAACGCATGGTCACGGGTGCGGCGAATGTCCCAGATGGACACCATCGCCAGTAAGACAAGAGAGACTTTTCTTCGAGAGTCGTTTCGCTAGCCGTGCAAAATCTCAACCACACCACCGCGCCTTTCCTGCAACAACCGGCCGGTATTGCTGTACCGCACAGCCCTCACCACGCCGGATACGTGACCCACGGGTTCAGCAACCTCATCGTGTTCGACAGACACCGACTGTTCCAAGAGGCCGAGCAGATGCCGGCTCTGGACTGCTCCTTGTGGAAGTCTGTGGCCTCTCACTGCCTAAGGCGAGTAACGTAACTTAGTAATAATGAGTAAAGAGTTGGGTTTTGGAAAAGAGGGTTGGGCTGGCCCCCCATCGTGTTTGGCTTTTTCACACGACGGGTGCCGTGTGCTTGCGGAGGTATCGACTTTTGCTTTTTTCCCGCTTGTCACTATGACATCGTCGGTCCGAGTTGTTGTCTCGAGATTGCAGCCTCAGGTACCTAAGCCAGCGAGGCAAACTGCTTGTTGTCGTGGGTGAACATCGTCATTGCCAACCGATGTGTTGGTGCAGAGCAGAGAGGGGCGGCTGACCGCCCCATGCTGTGATGCCCGAAGCGTGTTGCCCGCAAGGCCGATTGTGGGGAACTGATCCATCCCTGTTGTTTGATTTGGGAGTGATTGCCCTCGTCTTTTGTTTTTCCTTCTCGAGACAGGCCGGCGCCGCTTTCGATTCTCACAGTCACGCCCCCAATTGCGGGATCTTGTGTCTCCGCTCGCTGCCTCAGGCGCTAACCGAGTTGTGGTGTCATTCAACGGCATGGGTGTTGATTGTAATAGCGTTGTTGGTTCCAGAGTTCATGAATCGTTAGCTATTTAGCCTGTTGTGATGGCAACAGCCGGCGCCGCAGCAGCTGCTACAACCAACGGCGACGGGGTGGTTATTGAGCTGACGGCCGTGGAATGAAGTAGCGACAGCAGTGTGTTGTGAGGTAGCAGCACCAACAACAACAACGACAAAACTGATGCGCTTGCTCGTTTCTCTCTGAAAATTGGCGGCGGCGGCGGCAGGCGGAACTCGCGATTCCATCGATACAAGCTCCAGAGCTGCCACAGCCTGATGGATCGAGCGGCCTTCCTCAGCGGCGGATCCGGGATGATGGGGCAGGAAATGGTCGAAATGGAGGCCGATGACTCGGTACGCTGCCATCTATTCCGTGCCATGTTTTATTTTGTCATCCAATTTATCCTGGATGTCGGTCTTTCCACAATTCGGTACAACTCATGTTTTATTTTGTCATCCAATTTATATCCTGGATGTCGGTCTTTCCACAATTTGGTACGATTCTGGGCGCACCAGCCGGGAGTACACAGGGCCATGGTATATCGATGTGTTTCCTCTTTTTTTTTTTTTTTGTCTGCTTTGGCGTCGTCGTTTAGTTTGGTGGAGTGAAGCGTTTGGTGTGCGTGTTTGACTGGGACCGTCGCTGGCGCATGCAGTGCCTCTTGCGGTGTTGTGATCGGATCGTCGTGGTCTTTGTTATCTGCTTAGATGTTGTTGCGTTGTTTCACTCTTATTTTTGTTCATTGCGTGACCTAACCCGTCACCTGGTCGCTGTTGCGTCGTTTCACTCCTTCTTTCTTTTTTTCTTTTTCGTTGCGTGTCTTTTGGGGTAGCCTGGATCATCACCTGGCCCCTGTGTCCTTAATTCTAACATGTTACAATTTTTGTTTCTATGCCTCCTGCCTCTTTTTGTTTGGTTCCACTCTGTTCCGTTTGTCTCTGGTGACCCGGATCATGGCACGGTTACTTGTTTCGTCCAGCTCATCCTGGTACGCGGGAAGATTCTGGAGGTGGAGGGGAAGGTCGCCATCGGGCCTCTCGGGCGCGCCGACACCTCGGCGGCACCGGTGCTGATGGAGCCCGTTGGCCGCGGTACGGGCGGCAAGGTCACGCTCTCAGGAGACTACAAGGTGCGGCCGCCGGTGGTGCTCGGACTGCCGTTGGAATGATGCGTTGCGTTTGGACTGTGGTATTTTTGTTTTTTTGTCGTCACTGCAAATCAGCCCTTACAACATTCGGGCGGGGTGTAGTTAATCTTGTATAATGACTGGCGCTCTCGGGAGAGACTAGAAGGTGCGGCCACTGGTGCTCAAGAGTTAGCCATGTGTGCTCGTGCCATAGTTTGACCGTTGGCCTTGACCCGCTCATCCCTGCAGTAACGGAGCGATATTTCGCCGGCCCAGGCTACATGTACGTTCTCAACAAGGACGAAGCAGAAGCTGGCCATTATCCTTTCGATTCTGTGCCGAAGCAGATTTGGCATGGGGCGTGTACAGTTTGGCGGTTTTGCTGTCGGTATGTACGTGTATTGCTTCGAGGCCGTGGGTGAAGCGTGACGAACTTCAAGGTGTACGATGATTAGTGCGGTAAAACATGCTCACAGCGACGCTGTTGTTGTTGTTGTATCGTCTGCTAAATACTGCTGTGCAGCCACATGCGACACCTGTTCACTGGAAATCCCATCTACACATATGGTTTTCGCTGTTTTTTTTTGGAGTAGGACAACACGCTTCGTTGCTGTGCCTCTCGGCAGATTCAATGCTCCGCGTTGCTACTCTTGTTCGGTATTTCTTGTGAACTGCTTGAACCGTTGGGGGAGCGATTGCCACCATCTCGTATCAGCACCTGAACCCATGTAGGTGTCTCAGCGATGTGTGCTCGGAACACCTACAACGCGGGGTCTCAGTTTGGAGGCATATTCCTGGTACTTTCGACTCTTTGGGTTTTCTGTTGTTTCTGCTACCCTTTTTTTCGCGCGAAACAAACAATCGCTTGGGTCTTCAGCCGCGTGGCGGCCTCTCGTTCGTCCGAACTGGGTTTGAGTTGATTGTTGTGCTGTACATTACAACACATAAGTCACCTCGTGACGATAGTCAGCACAGCCCTATTCACCCCCGTCTCTGATTTCACAAAAAAATGCTCTAAATACGTAACCACCCAGAGGGACCTACAACGTGTGCCTACACAGGTGGACGTCCACCCCCCTTCCCCACAATGTCGGATGCCCTCGCCCTCTTGTGGAGGCCTTGACGAGGTCGAACACCTTGGAGAAGACAACCAAGGCCTTGAAATGGGAGAAATCGAGTTTTTTTTAGGCCTTGGTTGTCTTCTCCAAGGTGTTCGACCTTGTCAAGGCCTCCACAAGGGGGCGAGGGCATCCGACATTTTGGGGAAGGGGGGTTGACCTCCACCTGTGTAGTTTTGCCCACCTGTGTATGTTTTTTTATGATTGGCATCGACCACGCTAACCGGCTGACCAATGAAAAGACACCGGTCGTAGTGGGCTTGAAAACACAACACACTTCTAAATGCCATTAGTGCGTGTGTGTGTGTTTGTTTTTTTTTGCTTGCAAATGCAAATACGAAGGCCTTCATTCCCATATTCCCCGCCCCCTGTTACCGCTTCCCCCGCTCCCGAAACAAGCAGGCGTTCAAGCTCCCGTCTGACATGCTCGCGAACTTCGCGAAGGAGGAAAGAGGAAGGATGCTTCTGTGAGTGCTTCTACCTTCCGTGTGGTTGGCGAGCAGGCTTTTCGTTGCCGTTGTGGGCTATTGAATGCAGATTCAAGGCCTCGTCGATAGACCAAGTTGACGCTTTCCGTCGAAAACTGCGCACACGGGGTTTTGTGACAGAGCCCTCTTCTGCCTCGTACTCTGCCGCTTTTTTGCACCATCTCGCCTTTCGGCCGGAAGCTTGGACATTTTTATGCGTTCCATGCTGATCTTTTGGGTCTCACCCATCCCTCCTGGCACAGCTTTCACCTTCGTCTTCCCAACCCCCCCCCCCCCCCACCCAACATGCTCGTGAACCGCCCAAACCACACCAGCCAAAAGACCAGGAAGCGCGAGTCGATGTCCATCTCCACGATGAACCCCATGAGCAACAACAACCACCGGAGCAGCCCCAACAGCCCGATGACGGGAGACTTCGTGTCGGAGGCGGCGGAGGCCCAGCAGAGGTCCCTCGCCATGTCGCAGGCCATGGAGGAGAACCTGGCCGCCAAGTTCAACCTCAAGAATCCCGTTGCCGCGAGGGTCGGTGCGCAGGCCGCGATGAAGTTCATGACCGGACTCAAGCGCCGGCAAGAGGATGCGGACGGTGTGGATGCGGACCCGGCGAAAGCGGCGGCTGCTGCGGTGGAGAGGATGGCGGAGGGGGGTGGTGGTCATGGCGGTGACATCTACGGTGAATGAGGGTGCGGGGGGGGAGCGGCTCCCAAGGGCAACAAAGTGGCGTGTATTGATTGAGCTGGGCTGGTTTCAGCAGCAGCAATAGTTAACGAACGCTCTTACTTTTTTGGTGGTGCCACCAGCATGCATTTTGTGATTTTTTTCTTCTTCCGCGGACGAGGATTGGAGAGGGAGAAAGCGGGAAGAAAACAATTTGTAGCGTCGGTGACTCGCTAGCCCTTTCAGGCTTGGCGGTTTTCCCATGGAGAAGAAGCCTTTTCTGTGTGTAGTTTTTGGCTTCTTCTCCTTGTGGGGGTGTAATGAGAAGACGGAGGGGGGGGGGGGGGGGGGGGGGTAACCCCCCTTGCCCCCCCCCCCCTGTATTCTTTTCCCCCCCCCCCTTTTTATCCCCCCCCCCCCGGGGTTCCC